CACTATGGGATCCCGGTCCGCTTTACAGGTCTCAGATGTTCCCCAGGAGGTCTGCAGACTGGACTGTTTTCAAAGGTTTACCCTGTGACAATGCCTCCACTTGGATTCTGACAGAAACTGAGGTCCTTTGTGGGTATGAACATCCCATGGGGGGGAAAAATGTTTGCTAATGAAGTTTAGAGGCTTTAGGGCTTTTTTTTAAAGATGTATTTTATTTGTGTATGTGTGTGTGTATGTGTTCCTGCAGAGTCCAGAAAAGAGTGTCAAATAATCCCTCAAGCTTGTATTGCAGGCAGTTTGAGATGCTCTATTTGGTGCTAGGAACCGAACTCAGATCCTCTGGAAGACAGCAGCAAGTGCTTTTAATGGGGACCCATCTCTTCCTGCATCCCTTTTTATTTTTACACTGATGAGTAAAAGCAAAGACGCCAGAGTCATGTTCAAGCATCTGTTGGATTCAAGGGTCCCCTTTTCCATAAAGGACTAAAATAATGTCCATAAAAGGCTGCAAGTTCACAAAGCCCCAACCCCACTGTTCTCCACTTAGTCCCTACTCACCACCCCCTCCCCAACCAAAATAGCCTAGACAAGATTAGGAGCAGGAATGTGGCCCTCTGGCCCTTCCTCTCTGATAGCTAAACTGGCCGCCACAGTAAGAGTAAGGTCTGGCTTCTAACTCTCATGTGCCCCAAGACCACTTTAGATTAGAACATACATTATCCACGTCGGAGACTGGATAGAAAAAATGAAGGCTGGAGGTCCAGCTATACACATGAGCCATGTTGGATCTTGATTAAGTAAACATTTACTTCTCTCATAGTTATGTCCTTCATAATAAAGCAGAGATATCAACCCTGACCTCCAAGATAGGGTTACTCTTTACAAAGTCAAGTTTAGATGCAACTGTGTACATGTAATCATAGTGATAAGCAGGACTACATAGTTTACTTTTCTTATTGTTTATAATCCAAGTATTAAAGCCCTAACTAGAGTAATTAAATAATGATAGCATTTATTCCTCTCTGAGCTTGGAGTTATAAAAATAGATACATATGTACATGATCAAGTCTGGCAGAAGGTGGCAGGCGTTCCCAGTTAAGTGCTACGGCCAGGGTTTCGAGAAGTCTCTGAGAGATTGCACTGTTTAAAGTGCTGTTGGCAGACATGGGGGAAGGTGAGTTACCTAAACTAGAGTATTGAGGTTAGAACTTACAACAAAAGCGATAAAAGGCAGGAGAGATAGCTCAGCAAGTCATGGTGCTTGCTTCCAAGCCTGAGCTGAGTTCAGTCCCCAGAGTGGAGAGAGAGAATCAACTCCAAAAGTTGTCCTCTGACAACACACATGTGTACACACACACACACACACACACACACACACACACACACACACACACACACTTGCACTTATACCAACACCTCACCCAATCAAGATACACACCCATAAAATAGTAGCTCTGGCTGTCCTGGAACTCACTGTGTAGCCTAGGCTGGACACGAACTCAAAGAGACCCACCTGCCTCTGTCTTTCAAGTGCTGGAATTAATTAAAGGCGTGTGCCATCATGCCCAGCTACAATAAGTAATTTTTTTTAATTTAAGCATTTTATTTCCTAAGTATATAGAAATCAACAAGTATACAATATGTAACTTGCCCACACGCCTTTACCAAAGCTATAGGTGGCCCTTACCTGTGTATACAGAAATTGAGGATGACTCCAACAGTCTGCACTCAGACAATGTAGCTGCTAACTTAAATAGCACACAACTCACATGTACACACCATACATGTCCACGCGTGCTGTTGAATTCTATTTGTCCAGATGCGACTGCTTCACTGTAGGGCCTCCTGCTGAGTCCCCTTTCTGATCTAATCTGTCCAGGCAGCTCCAGTTTCTGCCTCTAACACCCTATTGGGCAGTAACAAGAAGTTCAAGGCTACCACGGAGAAGCCAGACTGTCAGCTTCAGAGAGGAAGGAGTGAAAGCCACAAGGAGGAAAAGGGGAGTTGAGAGGCGATCAAAGCCAGCCAGGAAGAAAGGCAAACCACCAAGAAAGGCTGTTTTCAGGCGCTTGGGACTCTACAGAAGACACCCCCCACCCCACCCCACGAAAAGCAAAGAGATTCAAGTTAGCCATCCAGTCACCCAGTGAATTGAATTATTAAATGCCCCACATGGAAAAAAAAAAAGACCTAGCATGATGAAAAGTAACCTATAGTCTAAGAAGGCAGAGCCCTGCACAAGGTTGCATGAAAGAAACCTGAGCTGGCTTCTTCTCCACACCGTAACTACTGCTACTTATCCCGCCGTCCAAGAGGAAATCTTTGTGCGACCAGTTTCTGTAGGGGGCGTCCGTGATGTTGCCTTTTTAAAAACGAGAGAGACTGCGCGCACACGGCGAAAATGCTAATGCGGTTTGGAGCTCCGGTTCATTGTCAGGAGGGGCACACAAGGATAAACACATAAGCTCTCCAAACCATTCTCCTCGCTCCTCCTCCTCCCTGAGCCCCCATCCATCCCTTCGGCTTGATGTGGTCGCTGCGCTTTGTTCTAATTTAGCCCATGCATAATTTATTCACGTGTGTTTTGTTTCCTAACCAGCAACTTCTAAAAACAAATGAAATATGTAGATGTTTTATTAAACAAGTTGTTTTTTAAAATAATAATAATAATAAAAGCAGATGACGTCGGTCTCCCAGTAACGACGCGTGTGCTCCTGCGTGCGGAGTTTTTAAAATGTCCAGGCTGTAAAAAGCTTGGCCATTGGGGTTATTGTTTACACCCTTAGCCCTGGGGGGGGGGGGGGGAGGATGGGATGCAAAAGGGGTCGGCTAATTATAAAGTGACCACTCGACTCCCTCCTAGGAAAGGCAGGCAGGGGTGTTGTGTGTGAGCTCCCGTGTGCCAAGACAGAGTTACAAATGCATCCCACGGCAAGTGTTTCCAATTATTAAGGAGTACACGTGTAATTCAGAACTAATTCCACTACCGAGATTGGCCACCTTCTTGCTTCTCTGTCCCTTCCCCCACTACCCCTACACACGCTCGCTTCTGTGTCCAGAAGAAAAAAAAAAAAGTGGACCGATCTGGGGAACCCTGGAGCGTGGAGCTCCTGCGCGCGTCCGAGCGTAAGCCCGCTCCCGGGCATCAAGGATACCGCTTTCCCAATAAGGAAGCCCAAACACATAGCAAATAGATCTCTCAGACTTGAGTTTACCAAGCGGCATCAGCTCGGCTACGTGATTTCGGCTGGAAATGAGGAAATTGCAAATCAGCTGTGTGGGTTCTGGAGAAACTCCCGGCATCAGCGGTGTGGCGGCGCGAGTCGGCGAGGACGCGGCGAAGTTACGCCCATTTAGTCTGCCATAAAACATTTTCTCTCTTAGGTGAAATGCTGTCGCCAGTGCAAAGTAGCTGAGCTTCCGTGCGAGAACTGGAGCCAGGAACTCCCATCAAGCTCAGCCTCCAATGTCTTCTTTACAGCAATATCTTGTAGAAACTCCGAGATCTGGGACATCCCTGCCCTATTCCTGGTTGCTGGCTGGTGCAAACGCAGCGGGTTCTCCCTAGGCGTTTCTTGGCACTAGGAATCCCCCACACCCCCACACCCCCGCCCCCTGCGCCACCCTCCTGCTCTCCAAAGCAAACCATGTTTTTGACTCCAGAAGCCAGGGGTTAGGACACTGCAGAGAGCAGTTAAAAGAGCCAGGGTCGACCACTGCCACACATTAGGAAGAATTGGCACGAAACATCCACGCGCACCCTCCTTCTCCCAGAGGCTTTCACCCGGGCGGGGAAGTCCTAGAACACCCGGCACCTACCCGGAGCCCACGCTGCGCCGCGATTCCCAGGGATCCACCCTCTGCCAACATCCCTGCCAATAGCGCCCCTTGAGAGCCACACTAGTTTTCCGAGGCCACCCCCGGCTCCGCGATCGCCCGCGGACTTGGCGGCTCACATTCCCAGTCCACTGACTGGAAGGAGGAAGGAAGGGAGGAAGGGAGGAAGGGAGGAAGGGAGGAAGGAAGGAAGGAAGGAAGGAAGGAAGGAAGGAAGGAAGGAAGGAAGGAAGGAAGGAAGACAGGCAGCTCCGACCGGGGACCGGCCCCCGCGAGTCCTCGCGCAGCCCGCCCCCCTCTGTCCGCTCAAAGTCTCCCGGAGGCACCTGCCCTTCGCTGTTGCCAGAGCCCCAAACCGCCTCCGCCCGCCTCGGCTTTTCACCCAGAGCAGGCGAGCACACCATTCATAAGACCTGCAGCTTCCCTGACTCCATATCAACCCCCAAATTAATCCAGGTCGTTAATTTACTACAGCCCACAAATACGCAAACACACCGGCGACCGCCCGGAGCGCCTCCCTGATCCCCCGGCTGCCCGAGTGGAAAAGCCTGGGGCAAGCACCTGGGCCCCAGGACTCCCGAGACCCGCCGGTCTGCGCGCAGTCCTCCCAACTCCGGAAGGTTTGCACAAACTCCCTGCGAGAGCTCGGAAGGCAGAGCGAACGCCCAGCAAACTCCGCAGCCACAGCGGTCGCTCATCCCGCCAGGGCGGACGAGCAGCGGAGCCGGGAAGCCTCCGGCTTGGAGCGCAGGGGCTCAGCGGAGCGCACGACGCGGCCCCTGGCCCGCGCTCCGACCGGGCTCAGCCAGCCTCGCGCGGCGCCGAGAGAGGCAAGAGGACTCCGGGGACCGTGCAGCCCCGAGCTGCTCGCGACCCCCGCAGCTCGGGAGCGGGCGCCGCCGCTCCGGGCTCCCTCCCGGTCCGGGTCAGCCAATTAAGCAGAACGCAAATGTAACAATTTTCTTTTTGTTAATTGCATCTCCTGACATTTCTGCGCGCTGGGAGGGAAAAAAAAAAAGATGAAGAAGTAAGAGCAGAAGAAAAGAGGAACCCGGGCGCAGCGGGAGGCGTCTGCAAGAGCCGGGCGCCGGCTGCGCTCCGCAAGGCGCCTTTTTTTCATATTGAAACCACGCGGAATATGTACATTTTTTAGTCTTACTTACGCTTTCAGGGGGTTGTGAATGACAGTCGCCATTTTGCTACAATGTAACAGAATATTGTCTGTCTCAGAGTTCTAAAGGTTCGCTCAGGGGAAGCGGCAGGCCAATCAGAGCACGGGATACCGGCCTGCAGGCCAATCGGCGCGGCTGGCCGCCAGGTAGGCGGGGCCTGCGTGGTGGTAGTTATTAGGGGAGCTGTCAAAGCCCAGAGGTCACTCCCTTTTGTAGAGCCCGAGAGCGAGCAGGTCTTAAAGGGGCAGTACAGTGTTGGTAGCGCCTTTTCTGATTGGGGCTAGTGGAGACACATGGGAGAGCATTCTCGTTTAGTTTGAGTCTCTACTTCACTAAATAACTGCAGAGAGTTTGCGCTCCTGGACAGGAATATTTACATAGTGCCAACAAAACCATTAAATCCCATTCATTAGCTTTGGGCTTTATATATCACGGGTTTTAACCCTTCCCCTCACCCCCCCACCTCCCCCCACCCCCGCCAGCTCCGGGTACACCACAGTGTTTCAGTGCAAGAGTTGGAAGGTTGCAGTTTCCTGCAAGAAATGACTACTTGTGTTCCACCGTTTGCTAATAATGCACTAGGTTCTGAGGCTGTTTAATATTCTTGTTCCCGAAGTGTTTTCTTTATCTCAGCCACCTTCCCCGGTCGGTTTCTGGGAACTGGCGAGTCCAGGACAGCAACTCCCTTCCCCCTGGAATGTCTCAGTGTCTGGCTCGCCCTCTCCTGCAGCCACGGTTTTTGTTACGTAATTCGCGGGTGGTCACTGCACGGTCGGTCCCCTACGACCACCGTTCTCCACTGTCAGTGATTGACAATGATCTGATACGGGCCAGCTGGAGAGCAAAGCGAGACCTGGCACTCTTCTGGCAAAAGGGTAGGGGAGATTTGAGGCAACTTTAGGAAACGCTGCTAGGGAAGGGAAATGGTTAGAGCCTGAGGTGGGTGTTGCTGGAGTTCCCTCAGGGAACAGCGCTGCGGATTCGGGCGTCACCTTTCTGGACTTAGATAGGAGGTGAAAAGAATTCGCAAGTGAATATTGCGACGTGACTCGAGGCTTCTTCCCGAGCCTGCCGCGGCTCAGAATCTGGTGAACCCTTGAAGAAACGGAGAGACTTCTGCGAACTCAGGCTTCCACGGAGCAGAGAGAGGCTCAGAGGGGGCGAACTCGCACAGAGAGCAGAGGCGTCGTTAGCATATAGAAGCCTGGCTTTCGGACCCATAGCTGTTTAACCAGGCCAAAGAGATGGAGGGGGGTAGAGTGAAAAGGAAAAAAAAAAAAGAGAAAGATGCTGAATTGCCAGTTCATAATCCCACCTGCTCTTTCTTTTTACTACTTTTTTTTTTTTACTCTCAATGAATAAAGTAAAATACAATCACAAAGCAGTCCAGAACTTTCAGATTCCAACTCCATTCACTATTAGAGTTACAGATAAGCTCAGCAAAGCTGAGTGAGTACGTGTATGCAGACTGGAAATATTTAACTCTTTGTTTGCCTAGTAGGGTGGTGTTCTCCCCACCCCGCTTCTCTCACGACAGGGTCGTGTGTGTTGAGAGCTGGCTTTGACGAACTACACAGAAAGAACCCCTCATGATGGCGCTTTCTTAAAGTTCAAAACCAGCCTGGACTACACATGCAAACCCAGTCTTAATGCTCTCCCCCCAAAAGAATAGTATTGCCTTGTTTTTTGTACTTGATGGAATGTCATTTTAACTGTCAATGCAAGTCTGACTTTAGAGTCCCTTTTTTGGGGGGTGGTGTTTGGTTTTGTTTGTTAGGTTTTTGGTTTCTTAGGTTTTTTTTTTTTTTGAGACAGTTTCTCTGTGTAGCCCTGGCTGTCCTGGAACTCACTCTGTAGACCAGGCTGGCCTCGAACTCAGATCTGCCTGCCTCTGCCTCCCAAATGCTGGGATTAAAGGGGTATGCCACCACCGCCTGGCCCAAAACCCTTCTTACTGACTGTGATGTCAAAACACTTTTTTTTTAAAATCACATTTCAGGGGCCAGAGAGATGGTTTAGTGGTTAAGAGCACATGTTGCTCCTGATGAGGACTTAGGGTTTCTCCCAGCACCTGCGTGGTGGCCTACAACCACCTCACAACAGTTCCGAGGGGGCATCTGATGCCCTGTCATGAACAGTTCAGGCACAAGGCACGCACATGGTGCACAACATACGTGTAAGCAAAACACACTCGTACACGGAAAATTAAATAATCTAAAAAAAATTAATTCCATGTCAAGGGCCAACTCAGTGCCTGCATAGTATGTATCTTTCTCTGGGATTGAACCCATGACAGCACAAGGGAGAAAGGAAAGGGGGGTGATAAAGGGAGGGAGTAGGGGAGGGGGAGCAAATTCCCATTTCTAAAGCTCTATTAGCCTCATATGTGAATAGGAGCCCCATCTTTTGCACCCTGATCTGGGTGGCTAGGCAGGCTGTGGGGAGTGCAGAAGCGAACCCGGGTGATGACATCCCCACCTCACCTGGGTAGCTCTGAGCTTCGCTGCCCAACATGGTTGTCCAGCGCCCAGGTGACCACTGAGCATGGGATCCGTGGTAATTAGATGTGTCACATATACACACAATTTCATAGGCTTAGCACCAAAAAAAGAGTGTAAATTAGCTCATGAGTTGACTCTGTTAGGTCTCACCCTTGCTCAAAAGCATCCTTCTTTCCTCCACCCCTATATTACCATATCCTTTTCTTTAAGATAGGGTCTCATGATGTAGCCCTGGCTGCCTCCTGCGTGCCGGAATTAAGGTGTCCATTATACCTAACCTTAACTTTAACTTATTGTTATAAAACTTCCTCCCTCCAAATAACTGAATTATTTTATATTGATCACAAGTTGAAATTGTATTTGGGGTTTCCTGGATTAAATAAACGTTAATAAAACTAATTTCATATATTTCTCTTTACCTTTTTAAAGGGTGACTACTAGGAAATTTCAAATCGCACCTGTGGCCCAGGTTGTATTTTATCATGTAGCTTTATACATGGGAAAGAATCAATCACATTAATTTTCCCCCTACATAGCTTTCTCTAACTCAGAATTGATGTCAGTGAGCAAACCTCTCTGACTCAGCTCAGGGATACATCAAGTGGCCAACAACTTAAATCACATGGGTACCCATCTCTGTTTACTCCTAAGTTCTGAGACCATCTGCAGACAAAGGCAAAGCATGGAGACATGGGAGGTGTGACCTTTACAACACACCAGAGAGGAGACGTAGGTACCCCCAAACAACCAAAGGGTCCATACGAAATAGAATACCAGCCAGGCCTCGTGGTGCACATTCATAATTCCACCTACCCAGTAGGCCCAGAGAGGAAGATAACAAGTTCAGGCCTACCTAGGCTATAGGTGGGGTTCAAGTTCAGCCTGGACAACTTAGTGAGGCCATGTCTCAAAATAAAAGTAAATAAATAAAGTGGTGGGGCTGGAGAGTTGGCTCAGCAGTTGAAAGGCACTCGCTGCTCTAGCAGAGGCCCTGGTTCCATTTCCAGGATCCAGACAGCATCTCACAACATTCTATAACTCCAGTTCCAAGGGATCTTATCCCCTCTTCTGGCCTCCATGGGTACTGCACATGATACGGAGACACACTATGCAGGCAAAGCACCCGTACACATATAAAATAAAAATAAATAACCGGGCGGTGGTGGCACACACCTTTAATCTCAGCACTCCGGAGGCAGAGGCAGGTGGATCTCTGTGAGTTCGAGGCCAGCCTGGGCTATAGAGTGAGTTCCAGGAAGGGTGCAAAGCTACACAGAGAAACCTTGTCTTAAAAAAAATAATAAGCCGGGCGGTGGTGGCGCACGCCTTTAATCCCAGCACTCGGGAGGCAGAGCCAGGCGGATCTCTGTGAGTTCAAGGCCAGCCTGGGCTACCGAGTGAGATCCAGGAAAGGCGCAAAGCTACACAGAGAAACCCTGTCTCGAAAAACCAAAAAATAAATAAATAAATTTTTAACAAAGTAAGAGTAATGTTAGGGGAATAGCTAAGTGCTACAGTGCTTACTTAGCATGCACAAGGCCCTAGGCTCAACCTAGGCTCAGTCCTCAGTATCATCCCTCAACCAAAACAAAGTAAGTGTGCCACAAAAGCCATGCAAAATGAACGCAGTTCCTCAAAGGCTCTGAGAACTGAAAGAACTTTATTAAAGACAAGAGCAAGCTCCCCTTCCATCTCGCCATTCATCCACAGCACAGGCAGCCATGACCTCAGGAAGTGGTTCCCTGAGATCCACAACCAGCTCTGATATGTTCTAAGCACTCAGCTGAAGTAAAATCCCTTTGAAGAAAGTGAAACATTAAAACTGTAGCCAGCAAAGCAGGGTGGGAGTGGGGGCACACGCCTTTAATCTCAGCACATGGGAGGCAGAGGCAGGTGGATCTCTGAGTTGGAGGCCAGCCTGGTCTACAGAGCAAGTTGCAGGACAGCCAGGACTACACAGAGAAACCTTGTCTCAAAAAAACCAAATAAATAGATAAATAAATAAACAAACAAACCAGGCATGGAAACAACCCTTAAAATGCAATTCCCATCCATCTGCAGAGAGAACCAAGACAGTCAGACTAAACCCTACAAGCAAGCAGAGCAATTGCTTTATGTGACTTAAAAGGAAAAAGGAGCCCCCCACTTATCTTCCACTGTGGCCTGGTGCACACGATCCCAATAGTCATATCCTTGAGTGTTTATTGGGTGCATCTACTTTTGAAGATAGTCAAGAGTTCAAAGTATGGAGGTTTTTATACATTAGCATGAGACAAAGAAGTGAAAGGTGTCAAAAGACCTGAGTGGAGGGATTGAGGCCATTCCACCATCAGGAGAGAGAAAGGCTCCATGAAGAAGATATCAATTAATTTGATTTGCTTAAGGAGTCCTTAGAAATGAGACAAGGGGTAAAGGGTCCTCTACACTAAAAACATGACCTAGCAACAACTACTTTCCAAAGCAAGTGTTTGTAGATTCCCTGCTGCTGGGCTGTGGGCACAGAAAAGGACAACCACTACATATAAGACTAGATGGTATTTGAAAGGCAGAGGAAGGGAGCATTGGGCACTTAGGGTAAGACAAGAAACGCCCACGAGGCCAGAAGATCAGGGGTATCCCCTTAAAGAGGGCATGCCTGAGCTTACTCTCAATAGCAACGAGGGGGTGTGGTGACAGCACCTTCAGAGGCGACTGTAAGAGAGCACTGGGCTTGTGAGCAACCCCTCGGGTGGGAAAATAGTTGCACAGGATGAGTGGGAAGGAAAATACTGGAGAGGGTGGGGTGGGGTGTAAACACTAAGAGATGTGACATTCGGTCGTGGAGGCAAATGACCAACACTGAAAGATTGT